TGCTCGTCGAGAATCGTTGTCTCGAACACCTGCTGCTCGACGGTTTTCGAGTAGTCCAGCTTGGAGCGCTTGTCCTGGCCGCTCCGGAGCTCGTGCATCATGTCGGCTGTCCTCTTGACGGTGCGCGGTGGCCTTGGCGGTCCCGTCGCCGCTCGAAGCCGCGCCGTTGTCGCGGCACCAAATGGCGCACTTGTTGGCCTCGCTCGGGATCAACTCGAAGAGCTGCTCGGCATTGCCGGAGACGGGCTTGAACTTCTTGTTGATCGGCAGCACCAGGTAGTGGAGGTGGAGGAGCTCGGCGGGGATGTCGGGGAGGGCCTTGCCGACGCGCTCGGCGCAGGAGCCGCGGGTGAGGCTCTTGACGCTCTCGGCGCCGAGCTCGACGTCCTTCTTCTTAGCAAGCTCGTGCATCTTGACCTTGAAGCTCGGCATGAGCCCGCAGAGGTCCCCGGGCGGCTCTCCGTGATTCTCGAAGATGGCGTGGGCGCGCCCGTCATTCTCGCAGTAGGTCTTGTGGAAGAACGCCACGGCCAGCTCGACGCGCCCATTGTCTTTCTCGTTCGAGACGCGGCCGTACTCGATGCTCTTGAGGGACCCGCCGTTGTAGACCATCTCGAGGACGGCTTGCTGGGCGCTGCTTGACCACGAGGCGCTCTTGGCCTCGAAAAAGCAGGCCGTCATCCTCGCTGCGCCCGTGCCTTGCGCGCTCGATTGGCACTGGCGCATCTCGGCCATCGCTATCTTGTCGGCGATGAACGAGAGCTCGTCGAGGATTGCAGCGCTCTGCTTGGTCATGCGCTCGAGGATCACGTTCGAGTTCGGGCTCTGGGCCACCGCCTGCTTGACGGCCTCGACGGGGAGGCTCGCCGCCGCGGCGCACTCGGTGGCCTGGGACATGGCTGCGGCTCGCGACGCACTCAGGGGCCGATGCATCGGCGATGCGCGCCCGATTGTGAATCCGCACGTTCTTGAGCAAGTTCGGCATGTCTATCCCCCCTGATCGCTGCCCCTGGGGCGAAGAGGCTCGGCGCCTCGACGAGGTTCGAAAATTTGGAGTCTCGGAGACTCGGAGAAGTTCGGGGCCTGGGCAGCTGCGGGGGCAGAGGAGGAGGAGGAGGAGGAGGAGGAGGAGGAGGAGGAGGAGGAGGAAAGGCCACGAACCGTTTGAGGGTTGCGCTAACAAATGAACTCCTATGCTATGCCTGCTTGAAAAAACGCATGTGCAATCAACATATAGTCGGTCCCCATGGCCCTGCAACGCGTTCTTTATTTGGGAACAGCGCAGAAATTGAGAATCGCACGGCCCTGCCGCGCGTTCGGAATTTGGGCAAACTGAACTGGTGAGAACTCCACAGCCCTCCCATGCGCTCGTGGTTGCGGACGCTGGTGTGGTGAGCACCTTGGCCATGCTCAGCGTTTTTGGTGTTGTTGCTAGTCTGCATGAGATGATAGCAAGTTCCAACTTCCCCTGTGGAGTAGAAAGTTCGGCCTCCGCGCCTATTTCCACGAGCGAATCCTGTTGGACGGGGAAAATACAAATGGAAAGGGGTGAACGGGGGGTACTTTATTATCGCCCGCGCGCGGTTAGGTTCCGGACTTCTTCTCTACTCGTTTTTGCCTCTTCCCGTCCAACGCGTGCACCGGATTTTCTTTCGACAAGCGCCGCGCGCGCCTGCCGCCGCAGCGTGGTAGGGCGGCGTGCGGGAGGGAGGGTTGCTGCCGCGCTGCGTGGTGGGTCAAGGCTTGCAAAAAACCCGCGCGTTCCTGCGCTTTCCTTCCCCTTCTCCTCCACAGCTACACTCTCTGTGTGTTACTTCCTTTTCTCCCTTGACGACGTCCAGAAGAAGTCCGGCCCCCCGCCGCGTGTTGTTTTTTACACGCAATATTCCCGGGAGTTGGGTTTTCGCTTAGGATTGATGTCAACATGTTGTTGCCGCTGAAGCGCTGGCCTCATTTCCGCGCTTCCGCTCGTTCCGAATCGTGTTTCCGCTGCAGCGTTGGCCTCATTCTGCGCTTCCGCTCCCTCCGAATCGCGCTCCCGCTGCAGCGCTGGCGTCAATATTTCCAGTGTCGTGCCACGGCATGCAATGCAATGTGATGCTATGTGGCGCCCCGCTGTGCAGCTCCATGCCCCCAAATCAGGACAACGGCCCGGAAACTATTACACATTTGACGTCGATTCGTTGATTAGGTTGGCACCAAAATTTGGGGGCGTCGTCGCTTTCAGGGAGTATCAAGCGGGAGCCCCGCTCCTAGTTTGAGAAGGCGATCTTGGATGCAGAGCCTGCGGGCGCCCCCCATCAGCCCCGCTGCGCGTGGAGTTGCTCGAGAAGCCCAAGCAGTCAGACATGGGGCCGCGACTTCAGAGCGGCCCAGACCTCTCGAAGACGATCCATTTACCCTCCGAGGAGCCTGCTGCCATGCCATTACATGCTGTGGGTTGTTGTGTTCTGTGCCGCTGTGCGAGGCCATTCGTTGCGTTGCAATGCTTGGCGATGCAATTCTTCACTGCGCGACGCCACGCCATGCTATGGCATGCTATGGACAGCCGTGCTTTGCTACGCCCTGCTTTGCCGTGCTCTACACTGTATCACGCACCCTCTCGCGATCATAGCCCTGCTCGGCATCGGATTGTGCAATTAGAAAGGAGTTCCACGCCATGATAAGGGATGGGAAGGAGGGGCACGACGTCAGATACGACGCGAGCGCACCTAGCTTGCCCTATTCCGTTCCCCCTTTCTGTTTTGTGTTACTCCACATCACCCCTTCGCCTCCCAGAGTTTTTCCCAGAGCGCAGCTCGACAACATAAGTGTAATCATGTGGTTCGTTTGGGTCTGACCCCTCCCCGTTCCTCCTCGTTGGCTCAAGTAAGCGTCTGGGCTCAAAGTGGCCCCCCAGGCACATCGCAAGCAAAGTCCAGATCACGCCTTCGGGGGCATGCCCGAGACTCCCGGCGCACCCGAGCGCGGGCCCAGCAGCCAGACGAGATCGACGCCCCAGCGGCAAAGGGCGCGCATGGAAGCCATTCGAGATATTCCGAGAGGTTCGGACGTGTCGGTCGACGAAGCCGAGGTCGACGCAGAGGCACCTCCGTGGTTCCAGAAGTTCGAGGAGCGCCAGGATAAGCGCTCCAACAAAATCACAAAGAAAGTCAGTAAGCTCAAGCAGCTGATCAAGGAGGTAAGGGGGGAGGCGGAGGGGGCGAAGGAAATTACAAAGCAAGTTGAAGAGAAGGTGGAGGACTTGGAAATCGATCTCACGAACCTGCGGGTGGACGTGGAGCTGATGGTTACGAAGGAGGAGGTGAAGGACACTGCGAAGAGCATGGTGGAGGAGGAGGAGGTGAAAGGACATTGTGAAGAGCATGGTGAAGGAAGAGGTGAAGGACAGGGTCAATCAGTTTGGAGGCAGCACAGTTCCAAAAGCGGCGACATGGACTCAGAGAGCCGGCGCAGCAGCAGCAAAAGGAAGCGGAAAGGGGGAGAGGATCAACGAACAACGTTCCAGGACCATCTACTTTGGGAACTTCCCGGAGGACACGAAGGAGGACAGAATCAATGATTATTTGAAGGATTGGACGAAGGAGGCGAACGACCAGGTGGAGGAGGTGCACGCTTCCGGGAAATATGCCACGAGGGGCGCGGTGAGGTTCAAGAAGGAGGAGGACATGTGGAAATATTTCGCGGAGAACCGTGGGAAGCTCCGGCACGAGGTGATGGGCGTCACTGTGTACGCCAGTCCCGGCGCGATGCACGACGAAAACCCCAGCAAAACCAAAGCAGTCCGGAAAGTAGTACGGGTGACCGTCGAGAACGGGGGTGGGGACGGCAAGGAGACGAATCAGCAGATCGTGACGAACTACCAGAAGGGGGGGCATTTTGGAAAGATGCCCGGGCAGCAGAGTGGGACGAGGGGAGCGGGGAAATGATTTTGAAGGGCGAGGTTGCGCAGTACCAGAAACAGTGTGACGACTTGATGGCGGAAGCGCAGGAGTAGGGACTACTTCAACACAGTGCCAGAGAGCGGGGAATAGAAGGTTTGGGACATGGTGGAGGCAGGGGGCAATGCGCACGCGCATCGGGAGATGTGCCGCTCTGCTTTGTGAGGCCGCCTGCGGCCGCTGAGGAGGAGCCTCTTCTCCAATCCAGGGCATTATGCTGGAACGCGTGTGGCATGGAGGCAGGAACAATCGAAGATATGCTGTCGCTATTTCCTGAAGACTTCCATTGGGGCGCAATTTTGCTGCAGGAGGGTCCGCATGCACAAACAGATTCGTACGCAATTTCTGCGAACGGACATGCTATATTCAGTGGAACCTGCGAGCACTGGACACGGAGCGTGACAATTCTAATTCATCATCGGTGGGTGGAGTCCGGCGTAAACATGAATTTCAGCTCTCGGAAGAAGAGCTGCCTACGCCGATCTGGATACGGGCCGCTCCAAACTCAGATTGGTGACGGCTCATTTTCCTCACAGAGATGGGCCGGAGGAGGAATACGATGATCTTCTTTTGTCTCTGGCTGATGTGGTTCAGCAAGGGCGCGCAAAAGGGCTTACGAACATTCTTGGGATTGATGCGAACGCAGTTCTGGGGGCTAAAACTTGCACGAATTCGCCAGATTTCACCGGGGAGCATGGCATGGGCCGCAGATGCCGCAGAGGAGGGTTGCTGGCCGAGTGGCTGCACGGAACCAAGCTTGCAGCTGCCGCCGCTTTCTCCCCGAAAGCGGAGAGCAATAAGTGGACGCACCGTTTGTGGAGCACCGGGGAGAGGAGACAAATCGATTATGTACTTATTGACGAAATCGCAGCCGGAATTTTTCGCCGATGGGATGTTGTTACTTTTGTGGAAGGACAATCTGACCAGCGAGCTTCCACGGCAGACTTTGCTCTCGCAGGAAGGCCTACAAGGAAACGAGGTCCCCGATTGGAGGAGGGATGGAAGCCATCTGCCGCGCAAAATGGCGAACCGGAAGCATTCCATGACGGCCTTGATCGCATGCTCAAAGACCATGACCCCAAGGAGGACCCAACTGACAAGGTGGTGTCGGTCGCTTCGCGCACTGGCGAAGACAAGCCAGCCGACGGCCGCCTCAAGCACAACCCGGGAGTCCAGAGACTCTTCCACGAGCGCCGGGATGAGGCGGACCCGGACAGGCGGCGCGCTCTCTCCAAACAGCTCTGGAGGGCATTGCGTCGACAACGAAGAGAAAAACAAGACATGGAATTGGAAGCATTAGTGGTCAAGGGCGCTGGTCTTCAGGCGCTGCGCCGGGCACAGCAGAGACACAAAGGCATAGGCCGGGCCTTGCTCGTCAAAGATAAGGGCGGCGTTGCCCAGACAGACCCGGCGTCGATCTGCGAAGTGTTCGCTCTGTTCTATGAGGACTTGCGCCACGAGGAGGGGGGGCGAGCCCGCGCCTCAGACCAACGAGTGCAACGACGGTGTCACGGAAGCGGAATTGCTGAAGGCGGCTCGCAAGTAAAAGAATGGCAAAACAGGGGCTGGCGACGGGCTGGTGGCAGAAATGCTGAAAACAGAGCATTCGAGGCTACTGCAAGTAATCGCAGAGTTCTTTGCGCAGATGGTTCAAGGGAGTTTGGCCCCGCCAGAGGAATGGAAGGCTACGAAATTCCGGGTCCTGTTCAAGAAGGGCGATCCGTCCCTCCCAAGGAACTACAGACCGATAGCTTTGATTCCTGTGATGGCCAAGCTGTTCAGTACCGTGCTGCACCTCCGGGTTGCCTCGGACATCGACTCCAAGCTGTCTGAAGAGCAGTTCGGTTTCAGACCGGGGAGAGGATGCTCAGATGCAGTTCGTATTATTCGAACGGTTATTAAAAAGTCGCTGGAGTGGGGCGAAGAACTGTGGATTGCCACGTTGGGCGTGGGAAAAGCATTTGACAGAGTCCACCACGCTGCGCTGTTCGACGCTTTGGTGAGCAGCGATATCGCCCCGTCTGCTGTGAATGCCTTGCGGCATTTGTACCGCGGCGTCAAGGGATATGTCTCGCTTTGGGACGGCGCCGAGAGTCGGCGTTTCGCGGTGCAGAGGGGCGTGAAGCAAGGCGACCCTTGATCGCCGGTATTGATAAACCTTGTTCTTGACGGAGTGTTGCGCGAGGTGAGTGTAGTCGGGAGAAAACGGGGTTACGGCACCAATGTTGGACAGGACTTCAGGGGCCATCGCCTTACCCACGTGGCATTCGCGGATGATCAGACCCTGATTGCGCGAAGCTGGCTGTCTATCAAGCGGATGATTCTGACGCTAAGGGATGCTCTGGCGAGGAGGGGGCTGTCCCTGCGCCCGAGCAAGTGTAAGATGCAGACAAACCGGCCCAACTCCCAGCGCAGGGGCCAGGTGTCTTTAGCTGACAATTTCTGCACCGATGTTCTGACGGAGGGAGAGCATCTGGAATTATTTGGAACCGTCGTCTCCCTTGAGGACGTCACCGGGGCCGAGATCGAGAACCGGGTCGTGGCCGGATGGAGGAAATTTTGGAAGCTGAAACGCTTGTTGTTGAACAAATCGCATTCTTTGAGAAAGCGCTTGAAGCTGTTTGACGCCACGGTGACAGAGACCGTGCTGTGGGCTGCTGAGTCGTGGACACCGCGAGCAGAGGAATTGCGGAGTTTCAAAGCCACGCAGAGCTCCATGCTCCGGCGCATCGTTGGTTTCGGGCGCCAGGAAGGCGAGCAGTGGGTGGACTGGGTCCAACGTGCCACTCACAAGGCGCGGGAGCACGCAGGCAGCGCTGGCCTCAAGGAATGGGCACCGGAACGCTTCCGACGGAAGTGGAAATTGGCGTCCAGAGTCGCTACATCCAGCTATTCGTCTTGGGTGAGGAAGGTCACCATCTTGAGAGACTCAGAATGGCAGGCCGCCGTGTCCGTGCTGGGATCGTCACGCCTCACACGCCCGTCGTCGCGACCATGGATGCGGTTCGAAGACTCTCTGCGGAGATTATGCAAGGCTTGGGGCCTGGGCAGCTGGCAAACAACTGCGAAAGAACCACAAGAGTGGCATCGCAGAGCTGAGGATTATGTTGCTTGGGCTACTGACATTCGCTGGTGAGATGGACATGCTCTTCTGAGGCGTCCCGCCCGTCCCGGGCCTTAGACGGGGCTTCTTTCCTTCCTTCCTTCCTTCCTTCCTTCCCCCCTCCATCTCGGAGCCCAGAATTCCGAGATGTTTCAAGCGAGACGTGCCATGCCACCTCTTGGCGTGGCATCTCGGAAACCAGTTGCGAGGATGTCTTAAGCGAATCGCGCAAGACCACGAGACCACCTCGTGCACGTTTTCTGACAGCCAAGAGTTGCAAGGATGTCTCAGGCGAAACGAGCTGGACCACCCCGCGCACATGTTCAAGGAGCCTGGAGTTGTGGGGATGCCTTAGGCGAGACGCGCCAGACCATCTCGCGCACAGCATCTCGAAGCTTCGAATTGCGAGGATGTGTCAGGCAAAACGGACTGGACCACCTCGCGTGCGACATCTGGGAGCAGAGTTTCAAGGATGTTTAAGGCGGCGCCCAGACCATTCCCAGAGCACAATTTGACAACAGATGCGCAATCACATGATTCGTTCGGGTCTGAGCCGTCTTCTCTCTCAGAGTTTCGAGGATTGGAGCCCCGACTGGCACTTTTTGGCAACAGAAGTGTCATCAAATGGTTCGTCTGGGTCTGACCCCTCCTCCCTCTCTCCTCCCTCTCGGAGCCCAGAGCTTCGAGGATGTCTCTGGCGAGACGCGCCAGACCACCTCGCGCGCAGCATGTTGGAGCCGCGAATTGCATGAATATCTCAAGCGAAACGGGCCACACACCCTTGCGCACACTTTATCAAAACTCAGAGTTGCAATGACGTCTCAGGCGAAACGAGCTGGACCACATCTCGCAGTATCTCGGAGCTCACGGGTGGGCGCGAGGATGTTTCAAGCAAAACGACCCAGACCACCTCTCGCGCGGCAGCTCGGAGCTCAGAGTTGCGAGAATGCCTTCAGCGAAACGCGCCGGACCACCTCGCGCGCAGCTCCTCGGAACGCAGAGTTGCGAGGATGTCTCAAGCGAAACGGGCCAGACCACCTCGCGCGTGGCATCTCGGAACCCCGAGTTGGGAGGATGGCTTAGGCGAAACGAGCTGGACCACCTCGCGTGCGGCAGCTCGGAGGCCAGAGTTGCGACGATATCCCAGGCGAAACGTGCCAGGCATCCCGGTGCGCGGCGTCCCAGAGCCCAGATGTTTGAGGATGTCTAAAGCGAAACGGTCCTGAACACCTCTCGCACGGCATCTCGTGGCTTAGAGTTTCGAGGATGTCTCAGGCGAAACGGCCCCGAACACTTCGCGCGCGGCGTCCCAGAGCGCAGATGTTCGACAATGTCTTAAGTAAAACGGCCAACTCTGGACAACTCAGAAACGAGAGTTGTGAGGATGTCTAAGGGGAAACGGCCCAGAACACCAGATGTTGTGAGGATGTCCCTCCTCCCCTTCCCGTCGGCCAGAGTTAGTTTCCACCACAACAGCACCCCGTTCAGCAAGTTGTTTAGGGTAGCTTTGAAGACCCAGGTATGGTGCTCTTGCACGGTTGAGGATCTTCAAACGGATGTGTTCCAACGGGGCAGTTCCCTCAGTGGCAATCAAAAGGGAGTTTGGAAGGAGGGTGCATATGCAACATCGCTGATGAGTCTTAGGTTTGCACTCCTCCTCCTCCTCCTCCGCCTCTTCCTCCTCCTCCTTTCCCTCCTCCGCCTCCTCCTCCTTTCCCTCCTCCGCCTCCTCCTCCTCCTCCTCCTCCCACCCCTCCCCGATCCCTCCTCCTCCCTCCCCCCTTCCGCCCCCCCACCCGCATCTCTTCCTCGGTAGGCGTGCGTGGCCCCCTCCGCTCGCCCTCCGCGCCGCCCCGGCAGGCCGGCCGCCGCCACGCAGGCGTGCCCGCGGCGCCGGGCATGCCGCGGAGCCGCTCGTGGAGCCCCAGGAAGCGGCTCTTTCGCGGGGGGGATTCCAGAGCTTTGGGGTAGCGTGGGGGCTACGGTCCAGAGCTTTTGGGTAGCGCGCTTCGCTTCGCCAGTTCTGGCCCACGCTTCGCAGCGCCACGCTGTCCACTTCCCAGTCCCCGAGCGCCAACGTCCCGAGTTCTTCGCAGCCTCCCGTCCGGCGGAGCAGAGCGACACGATGTCCGCTCGCATGGCATACCATCTGGGGCGTTCCAGAAAGGGCCTCGCCTTCGAGGATCCGACGGAGTTGGCGTCTTTTCTGCGGCGGAAGGCCTGCGGAAGCTGAGAGTCCCAGGAATCGGTATTTTCGCGGGTGGGCCTCCTGGGGGACTACGGTCATACTGTACGCAGAGCTCAACTCGACTCCTCCGATTCCGTTCGATTTTGATCCGCTCTGATTCCGATTCGATTCAATTTCGGATTCGATTTCGATTTTTGTCGTTCAATGGAGGCCTTCACTAGCCTGCAGATTTCCGCTGGGTCGATTTCTTCCGACTTGGCTGCCGATTTCCGCTGGTCCAATTTATTCCGATCGCTGAGTTGACGTATCGATTTGGCCCTGTCGCCAGGGGGCCTCCAAGGTGGCTGCGATCGTACTCCATGGGGCGCTCCAGACAGGGCCTCTTCGAGGATCGATGGAGTTGGCATCTCTTCCTCAGCGGAAGGCCGGCGGAAGCTGGCGGAAGTAAACGTGGGCGTCTTTGGCGGCCGAAGGAAGGCAGAAGAAAAGATGCACCCCTAAGCGATGACAACGTGATTGGGTTCAGGTTCTGGAGCCCGCCATGAAAACCTGTGCCCCTGCCGAAATTTCGGTCGATTGAAGTCACTGAGCGGATGCCCTGGTCGACGGCCAGGTCTGGGGCCCCAGATCGGCCCTGGATCCATGTGATCCCCGCACTCGCCCGGCGTATAATTGTGGAATGTCCATACTGTCAGCAGTCACCCAAGCGTCCAGATTGTGTAATTTCAGCATGTGGCTAGTAAGTCATGACCCCCACGAGACTGCTGAATAGACCCCGCGGGGCGCGAAACACTTTGTTTTAACCACGCGCGCCAGGGGGTCGTCGCAGGCGCCGCCGAGGGAATCGTGTACCCCCCTGCATGGCAGCCGCAACACGGTTGCACATAGTATACATCCGAGGCGAGGTTGTTCCTCCTGTCAGGCAAACAACCAACGTGCCACAGGCGTCGCCGTGGTGGTGATCGTCGTCGTCGTCGTCGCCGTCATCGTCCGTCGTCGTCTGCCGTCGTCCGTCGTCGTCGGCGTCGGCGTCGGCGTCGGCGTCGGCGTCGGCGTTGTCGTCGTCATCGTCATCGGCTTCGTCGTCGTTGTCGCGGGCTTGCGAAGTCCCCCCATTGGAGCATCCGCAGGGCGTCTTCGTCGTCGCCGTCATCGTCGTCGTCGCGCCGTCCGTCATGTCGTCGTTACCGTCGCCGTCATCATCGATTGCAGCGGCACTCGCATTACAGAAGGCCTCTCATGGGGCATCCGCAGTGCGTCGTCGTCCGTCGTCTTCGTCGTCGTCGTCGTTGTCGTTGTCCTCGTCCTCGTCCTTCTTGTCGTTCTCGTTCTCGTAGTCGTCGCCGTCGTCGTCGTCGTCGTCGCCGTCTTCGCGTCGTCGTTGTCGTCGTCGTCGTCATCGTCCGTCGTCGTCGTTGTCGTCGTCGTCGTCGTTGTCGTCGTCGTTGTCGTCGTCGTCATCGGCTTCGTCGTCGTCGTCGTTGTCGTCGTCGTCCGTCGTCGTCGGCGTCGTCGGCGTCGTCGTTGTCATCGTCATCGGATTCGTCGTCGTTGTCGCGGGCTTGCGCAGACCCCCAATCGAGCATCCGCAGTGCGTCGTCGTCGTCGCCGTCATCGTCGTCGTCGCGCCGTTCGTCATGTCGTCGCTGTCATCGTCGTCGCCGATTGCAGCGGCACTCGCATTACAGCAGCCATCTCATGGGGCACCCACAGTGCGTCGTCATCCGCCGTCGTCTTGGTCGTCGTCGTCGTCGTCATTATCGTTGTCCCCGTCGTCGTTCTCGTTTTCGTCGCCGTCGCCGTCGTCGTCGTCGCCGTCGTCGTCGTCGTCGTCGTTGCGTCGTCGTCGTTGTCTTTGTCGTCGTCGTCGACGACATGCGCGGGCCTACGCAGCCCCCCCCCCATGGGTCATCCGCATTGAGGCTTTCGTCGTCGTCGTCGTCGGCGACATCCGCGGGCCTACGCAAGCCCCCCTATGTGGCATCCGCAGTGCGTCGTCGTCGTCGTGGGCGATTAGAGAGTGCATGCGCAGCACCCCCGCCCCCCCCCCTCCCCCATGGAGCATCCGCAGTGCGTCGTCGGCCGCCGTCGCCGTCGCCATTGTCGTCGTCATCGTACGACATGTTATCGTGGATGGGGGGAATGGGTGGGAAAAGAAAAGGAGGAACCCTTGCCGCTTGCCTCTGCCGCTTCTCCCTCTTCCGCTTCTTGTTTGTAGCCATGTCGGCACTGCCCGCCACCTGACGCACCTCTTCCTTCCGCGTCCTCTTTCTTTCCTGTCTGTCGCAATGTTGGCCCAACCGCCTCGCTGTAGCGGATGCGTTGCTGTCCCCCTCCGTTGGGGCGGTTCCGCTGTACCGGCGCAAATCACGGGCGCCGCCGTGGTGTGTTTCCATTTGGCGGGCGCCCCCCCGCGATTCGCCCGCACATGGGAGCTATTGTTCGGTCGCGCGCTTGGCTTGCTTCTTTTGGTTCACAAGGAGGCGTTTGTGTAGATCTCTCTCTTATATATGTGTGTACATATACATAAACATATATCCCCGTGCACGAGGCCCGGGTTCCCGGGGCCCCGCCATCGACAGCGCATGGGGGTTCCTGGGTTTTGGGACACCACGACGAGGCCTCCAAAACGCCCCCGGGAGGCAGAAAACAACGATCCAAGACGCACCGAAGCATCCCCGCGAGGCCCACGACGACGACAAGACACCCCACGTCGCCCTCTTGGCGGCCACAAGCACTTTCAAAATGCCCCACGTCGCGTTCAAGAGGCTTCCCGGGAAGGCTCCCAGAGGCAAAAATCATAGAATTTTTCAGTTTGGCTATGATGGGGGATTTCGTTGTTTTTTTTTTATATATATATATATATATATATATATATATTTCCCCCGACGCTCCCAGACAGCCCCAGAAGCCCCCAAAAAGGCCCGAGAAACCCCCAAGAGGGCCCCAAAACTGTCCAACAGGGCTTCAATAAGGCCCTGGAGGCGCCCAAGACGGCCCAAAAGTGCGCACAGGAGAACCTTTTTGGAGTCTCCAGAGGGCTCCGAGAAGGCCCAAGATCGGGCATGGCCAGGACCCCGGGTAAGGGGACCCAGTTAGTGGTAGGGCCCTGGAGCGCTTGAATTTGCCAGAATCACTAAACCAGGTTTGCCATAGCTTGTTTTTTTTTCGGGTGACGGCAGTTCCGGTTAGTGGAAATGGGACGGGGGGCGCCCCCGGTACATATCACTAAACACGGTTCCACGAAACCCAGTTCTACCAACTCTCGACAAGAGGAGGACCGCGAGCCGAAAGTCTTAGCTTTCTGCTTCAAGGGGCTCCCAGGGAGGCCCAAAAGGGCCCCAAAGCAGGCCAAAAGAGGGCCTCCACGATCCTTCGAAACGAAAACGGGCTTCACACTTGCATCCGGAAGGCCCCAGAGCAGCATCCCACGACATGCCGACGAACCTCCAAAAGGCCCGTGACCCCACCTCGACGACGTCCACGACGTCGTCGACGACGACGACGACCACGATGACGACGACGACGACGACGACGACGACGACGACGACGACGCCGACGACTGGGACGACAACGACAACGACCTCCAGCTGATGCTGCATGCCCCTCCTCGTGCTCCTGAAAGTGTTCGTGCTTCTCGCTGGCACTCCTGTTCCTGCTGTTTGTTCGCCCTTGCTCTTCCTTTTCCTGTTGCTGCTGCTGCTGCTGCTGCTCCTGTTCGCGCTTTCGCTTGTGCTTCCACTTCGCACTTCCTCCCTACGCTTGCCCTCCCCGTCCTCTTCGCCTTTCCCGTCCCCCCTCTCCTCGCTGCTTCCGCCCCCCGAATGGAATCCAGGCGGCCCGAGGGCCCGAACACAGCCCCCGGAGGCAGAAAGCCTCGAAAACCACTTCGAACCTCGATGTTCGAAGTTCGTCGTCGTCCTCAGCGCCGCCGCCGTCGTAGTCATCGTCGTCGTCGTTCGGCGGAGTCGCGCGGTGTAGCTCCTCGCCGGCCCCGCGCGCGCTGCGGCGCCGGGCGCGGGCGCCGAGGGGCGGCCCCCGACGATCCCACGCGTCGCAGAACACGAAAATCGGACCGCCCCGCCGGTTCGAGGATTGAGGACCGAAGGCGGTGACACCGCATTGTCAAAGTCCAGGTTCGAGGAAGGTTTCGATGCTTTCGGCCTCCGGGGGCCGTTCTCGGCCCCCCTGGGCTGTTGGGGATCAGTCCGGGGTGGCCAACTGCGTCAGGGGGGCGCCAGGAGAGGTCCAGGAACAGATTTTGAGCCGATGTCGGCCATATTCGTTCACAGCGAGGTTCGAACCTCGAGCCTCCAGGATCGAAGCCCACTAACATTCGGGGGGAAACCTCGTCTCCGTCGCCAGCGTGATTATATCATTATATATAATGAGCATAACCCCATGCCCACGATAATAATGTACCCCCCCCCCCTTAAGTCGTTAGAGTTTTTTATCGTCGACCAATAAGACTTTGGTCGGGGGCGCGGGGGCGCGGAGGCCGAACTTCATTATCACGGGAAAAGTTCGCCATCGAAGTTACTTCCTTCTTATGTTGAGATAACAACATCAAGCGAAGCGAACACGTTGTTTCAGGATGTCTCAAGCGAAACCAATGTCCTTCTGTCTCTTTGTAGTTATTTCTGTCTCTCTTTCTTTCTTTCTCTGTCTCTCTTTCTCTCTCTCTCACTCTCTGTCTCTCTCTCTCTTTCTCCTTCCTGGCCTCTCTGTCTCTCTCTCTCTGTC